CCCCAAAACCCCAAAACCCCAAAACCCCAAAACCCCTTATGAATGAAAGCTTTTATCTTTCACAGTTATTGAAAGTTTAAATACAACATTTAATTAAAATAAAATAAATAATAAGCACTTTATATAAATGCTGTTGGGGACTAAAGAGACAAAAGTTTTCAATAAAGAGTATCTGCCAGGCTATACAGGCCATGTTCCAACCAAGAACGATATGTTCGGCATGACAGCTGGTGATATAAACCGTCAAATCGTGACAAATGGAGGTCATTTAGGGTACCCAGTCCCTTCAGGAAGCACATATGCTCATAGATTCTATAAACAAGCGAATACCCCTTCAAACAAGGCAAACAAGGATATCTTCGGCAACTGGAGCAAGTATGCTTCAAACTGGATCTCTGGACCTACTCATGAGGTCTGCAAGCAGCATGTTCCAGGCTACACTGGCCATGTTCCAGGGGTAATGAGCGAAAATATATATTCCAAGTCATATGCTAAATGTACAGCAACTGCCATTGGCAACAGACACCCTAGAGGTCATGATGTGCCACCTAGAATCAGATACACTTCACAGAGCAAAGATGAGTACAATCCTAAGAACTTTAGAAGATTCAGTAAGTGAATAATCACCATCAGCTTGATTATAAACAAAAATTATAGTTGAAAATCCAGAAATGAAACCACTGAGAGATTATTAAGATTATACCAAATTTGCTAATGAAGAATTTAGCCATTAAAAGTATGAACTTTTATGTGAAGTTAATCGTTATATAGAGATAATATATTGACAAAATCAAATGGATTTAATCCATCAGCTTCATTCTAGAATACTTTGGCTACTATCAGAGCTCAGACAAACAAGGCAAGGACTTTAAGATCATCAACAGCCAATCCAAGTTTTCGAACATCAATGGACAATGATCAATTAAATGGTTTTATCACTGGAGGTCTCAACACCATCAACGACATCAAGCCTAAGCTGCTAGAAACTCGCATTGCTGATAATGAAAACTTCTTCAAGCTCTCAGATGGATTTAAAAAGATCTTCGCTAACGACAAAAAAGATTAAAAGCTAGTTATTCCTATCTGTGGTTATGGAGGCCATAGAAGAGGAGACAGGTCATAAAATTTCTTTGGAAAGTCTTTCAGGGATATTGCTATATAGAGTAAGAGACTTGAGAGATCCCTAAATGCCAGAGGAGAAAAATAATGATACAATATGCAGCAGCACCTAACACCATCGTCTAAATAGACATGATGATTGTGATTATGACACTCATATATGTTTTATAATTTAAAGTTCTTTAACAAAAAATCGCGAGCGCAACAATTATATATTTAATTTTACTAAAAATTAAAGTAATATAATACATTATAATTTAATCAAACAAAAACGCAAAAGCGTAAGTCTAACATTACATTTATACATTTTGAAATTTGAGCGTGCATCTTTCATTTTCAATGAAAATTTTGTTGTTAATTCACCAAAGCATCCTCTTCCTTCGGGGGCACGGGGAAAATTTGAGTTTGTATTATTTAGATATATATTAATTAAAAAAGTCTTAGCAAATTTAGTCTCATGACCATAACAGTCAATTAAATTTACAGAGAGAACTTAAGGACTTAAAATGAGGGACTATACATATACAAAGCAACAGCATTCTAGAAGAGGTACTCACCATTAGTTAGTTTTCTTCCTCCAAGAATTTTCCTATAAAATTATAAAATTAAAAGAGTTCTTACTGGGTTTATTTATCTATTAGCTTGAAGTGGAGGAGTACCCATCTTATTTTGATCTTCATAGTTAGAAGTAGTCTATATACCAAATTCTTCATGCTTGAAACTTTTCTTGGCTGCTGGAACTCTATTTCTCTTGTCGTAATAAGGCTTCTTATCTTTTTATAAAGAAGAGGCATGAGATTATTAATCGTTAAACGAGAGTAAATGACTATTTCTCTTTTAGTAGGGAACTTGCTAGTACTACCCGTTTGTGGTAGACCCAATATTTTAATATTGTCCTGAGAAGTAATTATTCCCGCCTCTCTGGTAAGCTGAAACGGGAAGTTTATACTCAGTTTTGTGGGTAGTAAGCAAATTCGATGAGTCTATACCAAAGTAGAAACCCTCACTAGATTGTTTCTACTAAGGCTGAAAGGAAAAATCAGAGTTAAATGAAAATCTGAAGGGTTGTTGTCCAAAGTAGTCATTCGAGGCGGCAAGGCAACTCAAAAAATGGCTCTAGAATATTGGCTTTATTTAGCTTGATGGAAGCTAAATTTAAACTACAGGCCTGTGTGTGTCAAAATCGAATGAAGAGTCGAACTCTTCAGTGACTTCAACATCGATTATGTCACCAATCTTATAGTTTTTATTCATAAAATCTAATGACTCTGAGTCTTTGATCAGTCCTGAAACTCCAAGATTCAAACTGCAGAAGACTCCAAATGGCTGGAAGTTTCTAAAAAGTTGATTAAGCATGAAATCTTACTTAACAAAGGCTTTTATCTGAACTCCTTCATGTAAAATAAATTAGGAAGGGAAATTTCTGTTAAGATACGCGTATCTTTGACAGAGTTAGGTCTTCTCAAATATTTCGCCGCTAAAGTTAGGCCAGTTCTTTGGTTAGGCGCCAAACTAGGATCTATTTGAAGTTGATGAACTGTAGTGAGTAGAAACTGAGACATCATCTTAATCCGAAGAAGAAGAAGAGTCTGTCAGGCTTTGAATATCCTTTTGAGAAATGGTTACGTCAACTTATTATTTTGAATTCTTAAGGTTGTTATTTCTTATTTGAGAAAGCTTCTTTTCTTACAAGCCAATTAAGTTTTTCATTGCTTCATAAACTCTTGGTAAATAGAGAACATCCTAAGAAGCGTATTCCTGCATTTCATGGCTAAGAGGTCTCTATGAAAGGGTCAATTTGGGTGATTCTTACCTTCCACCACAATTCTGGGTCAGCTTTCATCATGTTTACCATGACGTCTTTCTGATCATTCTCAACTTTTAGATATTACTTTAGGAGAGAGTTAAGGTTAATGTTCTGATCCTTAGGTTCATCCGAGTCCTTATTTAATAGCCTGTGAGCTATCTAGGTGTCAAAGACGCAGTCACAATGCACATTGTATTGGCGAACAAGCGCACTTGTATCTTCGCAAAAATCATGGAAAACTTTGACGATGTTTGGGTCTTCAAGCACTTATTTAAGTACCTTTGGGAATGAATTCAATTTAGTTAAGTCAAACAAAAAGCATCTATTAGACACTCCAACCTAAGTTAAGTTACTTTTCAGGGGTTATATTACCTAGATAAGGGCGAGATTTTTATGACGGGATATCCCTTCACAGTCTACTCCAATGACTAGTTCTTAGTCGAGTTCCCCTTCTTGTTCAAGACTTTCCTAATACATTCTCTTCTCTTCGATCGCATCTTGTTGAGATTTGATGAACTAACTAAAAGCAAGGACTTGTTCATCACTCTCAATTAAGGTCTTTCTGTTGTATGGGGATGAGATTGGCATTTATAGGGCCATGGTAAGGTCGTAAACTTCGTTGAAGCTGATGTAGCTCATTTAAATTTATTTAATAATGATCTGGAAGGGGATGAAGGATAAATACTTTAGATTTATTCCTAGATTTATTATTCTCAAATTTAATTGGAGATTTTGATTTTTTCCAAATTATTTAATAAGTAAAGCATGGGGTTTTGGGGTTTTGGGGTTTTGGGG